GATAGTGAGGGATTCAGTGATGGCAACACCATTGAATGTCAAGGGATGGTGGTTAAATTGTCTCTTGTTGATGATGGTCATAGCCTGGCATTTGTGTGGCGTGAATGTTACTTGCCACTTGTCAGCCCAAGCCTAGACATTGTCCAGATCGTGTTGCAATTGAACATGGACTGCTTCAGTATCTGAGGAGTCATGAATGGTGCTGAACATCGTGCAATCATTAGCGAACATCCACACTGCTGACCTTATGAAGGAGGGAAGGTCATTGATGAAGCAGCAGAAGATGGTTGGGCCTAGGACATTACCCGAAGGAACTCCTGTAGAGATGTCCTGGAGCTGAGATGACTGACCTCCAACAATCATGACCATCTTTCTGTGTGCCAAGTATGGCTCTAACTACTGGAATGTTTGCCCCCGATACCCATTGATTCCAGTTTTGCTAGGGCTCCTTGATTCCACACTTGGTCAAATGCAGCCCTGATGTCAAGAGCTATCACTCTCACCTCAACTCTGGATTTCGACTCTTTTGTCCATATTTGATCCAAGGCTGTAATGAGGTTAGGAGCTGAGTGGCCCTGGCAGAACGCAAACTGGGCATCACTGAGCACATTATTACTGAACAGGTGCTGTTTGATTGCACTGTTGATGACACCTTCCATCACTTTACTGATGATCGAGAGGAGACTGATGGGGCGGTAATTGGCCGGGTTGGATTTGTCCTGCTTTAAATGTAAAGGACATACTGGGGTAATTTTCCATATTGTGTTGTAACTGTACTGGAAGAGCTTGGCTAGGGGAGCAGCAAGTTCTGGAGCACAAGTCTTCAGGGCTATTGCCAGAATGTTGTTAGGGCCCATAGCCTTTACAGTATCCTGTGTCTCCAACTGTTTCTTGATATCACATGGAGTGAATCGAATTGGCCCTTCCATCATTGAGGATGGGGATATTTGTGGAGCCTCCTCCTCCAGTGAGTTGTTTAATTGACAACCACCATTAATGACTGGATATGGCAGGACTGCAGAGTTGAGATCTGATCCGTTGGTTATGGGATCACTTAGTTCTGTCTATCACTTGCTGCTTATGCTGCTTGGTATGCAAGTAGTCCTGTTTGGTGGCTTTGCCAGGTTGACACCACATCTTCAGAGATGCCAGGTGCTGCTCCTAGCATGCCGTCCTGCACTCTCCATTGAACCAGGATTGATCCCCTGGCTTGATAGTAATGGTTGAGTAGGGGATAGGCCAGGCCATGAGGTTATGGATGAAGGTGGAATACAATTCTGGTTCTGTTAATGGCTCACAGCGCCTCATGGATGCCCAGTCTTTACCATGGTGATAGTGCCACACAGCACGATAGAGATTATTCTCAATGTGAAGGCAGGACTTCGTCTCCACAAAGACTGTGCAGTGGTCGCTCTTACCAATGTTGTCATGGACAGATGCATCTGCACCAGGCAGATTGGTAAGGATGAGGTCAAGTGTGTTTTTCCCTCTTGTTGGTTCCCTCACCACCTAATGCAGACCCAGTCCAGCAGCTATGTCCTTTACACCTGACCAGCTTGATCAGTAGTGCTGCTGCCAAGCCACTCTTGGTGATGAACATTGAAACCCCATACTCAGAGTACATTTTGCGTCTTTTCCATCCTCAGTGCTGCTTCTAAGTGTTGTTCAACATGAAGGCTGCCGCGGCTGGGTCGCTGAAGCTTTTCGAGGCTGAGATAGACAGATTTTTCATCAATAAGGGTATCGAAGATTATGAGAATAGTGTAGGAAAGTGGAATTGAAGATTATCATATCAGCCATATTTTACAGCCTTTTCACCTTCTTGAGGATAATTAGAGATTGGCAATAAATGCTGGCCTGGCCAGACCATGATTTTAAAAAAAAACTTGCGACTGTCATTGTAGTGATTAGTTAGGGAATGCAACAATTATACATTGGGTTGAGATCACGCACACACATTTCCCATTGAATCCATATAGCCAACGAATAAGGAGACTTTAATTTCATGGTCTGAGGTAGATTTGAAATAAGGTCCCAGAGATGAAAGGGCATTATCGAATCTACTGCACAACTCCAGTAATTAGATCAAACGATTTTGGTTATGTCATAAACTTTGACAAACTGCCCCTGGTGGACTTTTCAGGTAAATTGATTCATTAGAAACATAGGTAATTTATTGGTGGTGGATAATGTTGAAAAGTAGCATGAATGATGGTGGTGGAAAAAGAAACATTCAGTAATGCATGAAGACACTTCTGGATATAAAAACAAATTTAAATGAAAAAACACTTTGACACAAATGCTCGAGTGGTTCACGAATATCAGCAGAACCTTAAGACCAAATCACTGCCTTTAATGCACAAACAGATGTTGGATAATTTATTAATTTTCAAATTACATAGCTTGAAGACCTTGTTGATATCTTTGTGTGCTTGTGTAGCCAAATATTGAACAGTGCGGATATGGGCAGAGTGGCTATGGTGTGAGGACAATAAACAGCACTGTGACATGGGACTTGAATGTCTCTAGCACCACATCAGAACAGGAGTACTGTAAATTAAAATTCTTACAGGCATCAGATTACTGACAAATTAACTAAACGCTACATCATATAAAAACAAAAACTTAACAAATGTTATATATGATGCACGCACCGTTTTATTTTTTGCTCAGTAAGGGTTAACTGTACAAGATCACTTTGTGAGACTGTTAACAGAGACCATAATACAGCAGAACCACTATTCATGGAAAATCTACAAAACTTTTAATTCATTGAAAAGCAAATAACTAAACCCCCATTTCTAAAAATCAGAGTTGATTAACTAAGACTGCTTAGGTTTTTTTTAAAATTGGGATAGATCAAGGGACATACCAGCAGAGTGGAGCTGGTGTCCAGGATCAGCCATGAACATACTGAATGATGGGCCAGGCTCAACGGGCCATATGGTCCACTCCTGCTCCTATATCTGGTGCTTGCAATATCATGTTGTTTACAAGTCAGTCAAACTGGATATGACACTGTGCTATATGCATACTTGACTCAGTCATTTGGATTTTGTCCCATGTATATGTTTCAGAGGACCTCCCTCTTTTAAGGATGTTGCCCCCTTGATGAGGTACAGTTCCTCAGGGATAAAAATGGAAATGCCACAAACAGAAAAGGTCAGTCAGTATTTTATGATATTAAAAATATGCTTATGGTGTTAAAGATATGTACTTTCAGCAAAATGATGATTATCAAGGTAAAGGTGAGGGCTTTATTTTGTTATGCAGCGTGTAATAGAGTTGTGCAATAAGTTAACAAGGAAGTCAATCAAAGCAATGGGTGTGTATAGGCTCAATCTGTAGTTTTGGCACCAAAAATAGAGCTGTGGGTGTTCGTTTCATCTAGCAAGCTCAAGGGAGAAAATTATCTGACAGCATAAGGGAAGACATTAAGAAAGCAAAAACATAACTTGTATTTACATAATGCTCTCTTAATAAGACTTGGTATGAAGACAGACAATCTGCTTGTGTTCTGTGAGAAATAACAAGGTATCTTATTATCATATTGGAAGAACACTATGAGAAAGCAATCAAGCTAATTTTGGGAGATCTACAGTAATAAGATTGTTAATAACAGGAGGTTATTCTGTGTAATATCTAAAGATAGAATGGAATAATGCAAAAATTTGAAGAAGAGTCCAACCTGAGTCATAGAATAGAATCCCTACAGTGTGGAAACAGGCCCTTCGGCCCAACAAGTCCACACCGACCCTTGGAGCATCCCACCCAGACCCATCCCTAAACTACACATCCCTGAACACTATGGGCAATTTAGCATGGCCAATCCACCTAGTCTGCACATCTTTGGACTGTGGGAGGAAACCGGGTACCCGGAGAAAACCCACGCAGACACGGGTAGAATGTGCAAACTCCACACAGACAGTCACCTGAGGGTGGAATCAAACCCAGGTCCCTGGCACTGTGAGGCAGCAGTGCTAACCACTGAGCCACTGTGCGGAGTCTTGAACAGTCAATTCACCTAACGTTCAAAGTCTTATAGGGAAGTGAGGTCCAGGTTTCTATTTGCTTGAAGAGTGCTTCCTGATATCATTCCTGTATGGGCTGGCTCTAATTTTAAGATTATGCCCTCCTGAGGAAACCTTTCCAAACCTAAGGATATAGTATCTACCGGACTGAATCCTTTTATCAATCTTGCATACTCAAGGAGAAAGCAAAGCAAGTTTATACAATCCATCTTCAAATTTAAACCTTGGTATCGATCTGGCGAATCTGTGCTGCAACCCTATGAAGGCCAATCAATATAATTCCCAATGAATTGAGGTGCCCAGAACTGATTCAATACTCCAGATGGGGTCTAGTCATTTACAAACACTGCCGACGGGAACCCTTTTATCTATGGAAGGGGGTGTAAATTGACCAATACTCGGTGCAGGGGAAATGCGAGTGGCGAGGGGAAGGATTTATGGCCCATTCTGACTTGGCCAATTTGGAAAATGCAGCTTAATCTGTGCTAAACCGCAGCAGATGGCGCTGCACCTCAGCACTATGTAGCGATCTTTAATAATCAGGGCATATCTTCAATAAGTGCGTTTATTTAAAACAAAACCTCAAAAAAAGCATTAAAAAACGTCATCTTTAACGTTAATCTGATCCTTACTACAGATTTTTGCAAAACAATTAACTGAACATTCTGGAACTTTCCAGACCCTTTGGGCAACTCGTGGCGTTAGTTGGCTCTGTACTGAAGACTCTCCATGTTACTGATTAATATTTTACAGATGTTAATACAAACTAAAGAAACTAGTCAGTGAAATCATTCA